GACCAATGTGAGGACATTTGAGTATTTTATTTGGTCATGGATCTTGATAATGTCTGAATCCCTTTCCTCTCTACAACTGGCTTTTCTTTGGCTATAAAATGATTTTCAATCACTTTGAAATAAAAAGACAAATTTTCATCATTTGGGTGCTGCCAGAGGAATATTGCTTTTCTGAGAAGAAAAACCCTTTAAATTACACTGTGCGTGATGAGAAAATGTTTCTCATTAGAAGTTCTCCTTGTGATTGAGTAGAGACAGGACCCATCTTAGCAAACGACTTGTGCTCCAACAGCTGATCAGGATGTTCCAGGTTACAATTAGGCAAATGCAGCTTTCCTTATTCATTGTATAGCCCAGGAGCAGGTTATTGTCTTTAACTGAGAGAGAAAGGGCTGGAGGAGGGAGGGGCCCTGATGGCGTAGCAGAGGTGAAACATGTTAATGTGGAACCAGGTCAGCGATTGAGTCCTTGTGACTGTACCTGCTGTCACTCAGTGATGAGGGGCAGAGCTACCCCCAGAGCAAAAACAACCCGAAACGTTTCTCTTCCCTTGAGGAATAATCCAGCTTAGAAATCTGAACATACATCCCTCTGACGCTTTCTGACAGCTTACCATCCTCAAGGGGAAAACGAAATCGGATTTAGTCCTTGTTCTCTTTCTGCAAATACATTTCTTCTCGGTAAACTGGGTTGCTGGGCCCACATGCTGACTTGTAAATGAGGAACCTTGGCAACAGTGTCTCTTCTTGTGTGGGTCCATATCCATCCACCTCCTCTTCCTCCTCCTCTTTCCCTCTCCCGCTTCCTTCTTTGCTCTTCATTCACTTCTCCCTCTCTGTGATAGAAAACCCACTCTCCCAGAGTTGACTTGTTCACTTACTGAAAATACAGTTTTCTGAAATACCTACTATGTGGCCAGGCACTCTTTTAGATTCTGGTGACTTAATGGCATACAAAGAAGACGAGTTTCTACCCTCACAGACCTGACTTTCTCAGAACTCTCTGAATTTTCTCTGGAATCTTGCTCTTCCATTGCTGGCTTTGTAACTTTGGGAGTAAGTTATCTAGCCTCTCTGTGCCTCATTTTCCTCCAATCAATGGGACAGTTATTGGTATTTATCTCAATTGGTTCTTTTTTTTTTTTTTTTTTTTTTTTTTTTTTTTTTTTTTTGAGACAACAAGAGTTTCACTCTTGTTGCCCAGACTGGAGTGCGCAATGACGCGATCTCGGCTCACTGCAACCTCTGCCTCCCGGTTCAAGCGATTCTCCTGCCTCAGCCTCCCTGAGTAGCTGGGATTACAGGATAGTGCCACCATACCTGGGCGTCATCATTTTTTAATATTTTTACGTACGAGAACGGCGGGGTTTTCATGTGTTGGGTCACCAGGCCTGGTCTCGAAACTCCCTGCACCTCAGGTATCCAATGCCCCTTACGCTCGCCAACAACTGCTGGGATTACAGGTGTGAACCACAGTGCCCGGTCCTCAGTTGGTCTTTTTTAAAGCTAAAATGAGGTAATACAGGTAAAGCACTTAGAAATTGAATGTGTGGCTCAGGGCTAGTGCACAGGGCATACTGATATTTTTATTGATGCTGTTTGTACTGTCATCACATTCTTCCTCTCTGAGGTGCTTACTGTTTCATCATTTTCCTGGTGACCTGAGAGAATGCTTGCATTGATGCCTCATTTTCAGGACCAGGGAGAAAGCAGGAGCCCTCTCAGAAAATGCTCAGGGAGCAGCAGTTGTGAGCATAGCACGTGCCTGTTCAGTGGAAGTGCATTATCCAAACATGTTGTAATGTAGTCATTCAGGGTCCTGCCAGAAAAAAGGAGAACCAACTCTTTTTATATTTAAAGAGGGGCATGAGAAAGAAAAGATCAAAGTGAGCTTAAGGGGTCAGGTGCGGTGGCTCATGCCTGTAATTCCAGCACGTTGGGAGGCCGTGACAGGTGGATCACTTGAGGTCACAAGTTTGAGACCAGCCTGGCCAACATGGTGAAACCCCGTTTCTATTAAAATAAAAAAAATTAGCCAGGCATGGTGGCATGCACCTGTAATCCAAGCTACTCGAGAGGCTGAGGCAGAAGAATTGCTTGAACCTGGGAGGAGGAGGTTGCAGTGAGCCAAGATTATACCACTGCACTCCATCCAACCCGGGCTACAGAGCAAGACTCCATCTCAAAAAAAAACAAAAAACAAAAAAACAAAAAAACAAAGAGCTTAAAGGACACTTTGTAAGTTGAGCATCTCTATTCTGAAAAATCCCAAATCTGAAACTTTTTGAGCACGGACAGGTTGCCCCATGTGGAAAGTTCCACACCTGACCTCATGGCATGGGTTGCAGTCAAAAATTTCTTCATGGACAAAATTATTTAAAATACTGTATAAACTTACCTTTAGGCTATGTGCATAAGGTATATATGGTGCGTAAATAAATTTTGTGTTTAGACTTGGGTCCCATCCCCAGGCTATCTCATTATGTATGTGCAAACATTCTAAAATCTGAAAATATCCAAAATTCTAAAAACATCTGGTCTGAAACATTTCTGATAAGGGATCCACAGACAGTGCATAGATCCTGTGTACAGTGGCAAAGTCAGGTCTATTGCTTTTTCAAAGAACAGCACAGCCTCTTTCCCTTATATTTGTACTGAACATCTTGTAGGAAGTGGAATCTTCTCTGCCTTCTGCTAGCTCATTTCCCAGTACTTTCAAACTCTTTGATATTGCTGAATGAGATAAATCATTTCAGATATTTTTTCAGATATACCAAATTCTACCTTGGCAGTGCCCCTCTGTCCTGTGAGCCTTGCAAGTGACTTTCCTGGTTTCTGACAAGGACCATGATGAATCACTAGCTTGGGGTATCTTGTGTCTCTTCACACTATTGATTTTAGGAAAATACTTTCTGCAGCTTGCAAAACCATAATGTCGTTTGTCCTTAGAACATCACTGTCCCAAGAAGATACAATCATCATGCTTTACCCATACATTAAATAAATGATACACTTCTTAAAATAAAAAGTGTTTAAAAATCCTTTTTTTAACACAGAAGAAAAGTAAGTCCTACTTTTTCCATTACTTTGCTTCTTGATAAAACTCTAGATATAGTTTACTTTTAAAACAATGTATTTTTATTTATTATGATTGTTATTAAACATTATAACTTATTGCATAGTTAATTCCTATTTTTGTGAACCAATACTGTTATACAAAGAAGTGTGTACTTTTTTTAACCTAACCTTAGTTTTTGTTTCTAAGCTGGTATTTTTCACAAGTCAAAACAGTCCACTCAAGAAATAATAGACATTGGAGACTCAGAAGGATGGCAGGGTGGCAGGGCTGACAGATAAGAAATTACTTAATTGGAACAATGTATGTTATTTGGGTGATGGAAACCCTAAAAGCCCTATATCCATCTAACAAAATGCAACTTATACTTCCTAAATCTATAAACAATGTTTAAAAAGGAAATAAGAATGAAAGAAGAAAAAGAGTTCATTTTGAACTAGTGGAAATAATAGAAAGGAAAAGATTATTTTAAAAAATACCCTCGGCCGAGCGCAGTGGCTCATGCTTGTAATTCCAGCACTTTGGGAAGCTGAGGTGGGAGGATCACAAGGTCAGGAGTTTGAGACCAGCCTGACCAATATGGTGAAACCCCGTCTCTACTAAAAATACAAAAATTAAGCGGGTATGGTGGCGGACCCCTGTCGTCCCAGCTACTTGGGAGGCTGAGGCAGGAGAATCATTTGAACTCGGGAGGCGGAGGTTGCAGTGAGCTGAGATCGCGCCACTGGACTCCAGCCTGGGCAACAGAGTGAGACTCCATCTCAAAAAACAAAAACAAAAACAAAAACAAAACAAAATGAAACAAAAAAACAACCCCCCCCCCCAAAAAAAAAGAAAAGAAAGAAAACCCAACCAAACAAAAAACCCATACAGTCCACTCAGTGCTGAGGTGACAACTCCATTTTTGGTAATCTGAATATGAATCTTTGACAAGGATGTTTTTAGAGATTATTTTGGTTACAACTGTTGTTTTCCTTTTATTCACATGCACACTTACCACCATTAATACCTTCCCCCCCGCCAAAATAAGCTTTAGCCCCTTTTCTGTTATAGACTAGCTATGTGACTTGGAGCAGGTAATTTAGCTTCTGAAGGTTTTGTTCTTTTCAAAAGTAAAGTGAAGAGTTGAACTTCATGATCTCTGCACCTATTGGATCTATTAAAATCTATTTTTCACTAGAATTAGAGTATTTGAGATTTGATAATAAAAGTACTAAGGCTTCCTCCAAAAGCAAGGCAGAAATCAGTTTCATTACTATGGGAAAGTAATTAAAAAGACCTCAACAATGAAATGCCCTTGACACTAAAACTAAACTCATCCAACTTAATTCTCCTGTGGTGCCTCCGCAGTCTTTTTGAAAAGCTTCAGGCATGGCTGGGAACACTGTCCTTCATCAATGCGGACTCAATATTAGACCAGCGTCTCCCGGGATTTTTTCGTTCTTAATTCTCTAACTAAGTTCCAGTATCAACACATTTTCCTGTCATCTGCTTCTACCTCATCAAGTACAGTACAGAAAGAACAAAATAATAGTACTCAAGTATTCTGGTTACCAGAATTCTGGATTAAGGAACTTTTATTTTGTGGGTTCTATAAATGAGTGATTAATTAATGAGTGGTTAGGTTGTATTCGGAATTTTTTTTTTTTCTGGTGTAAAGGCAAGAGAGGATATTGAAGATATTGATCTATGCATCTGAGTACACTAAATTGGGGTGGAGTAAATGACATCTAGTTGGGGACCAAAGAAATTGCTTTATGCTGACTGAGGCTCCAGGGATTCCTTATAATGGGATTTTGTAATTATAAATCTTATTTCATTAAAAAAATTGCCCAACATTTTTTTTTTTCTTTTTTTGGACAGACTCTTTTATCCTCTACCCCAAGTATCAGATAATCACTGAGAACACTTCGTCAGCTTCTTACCTTGAAGAAGGTCATTGTTGATCCATCTCTGACCGCCCCATATTCTATCTTGGTTTGCTTTGCCAGATCATCTGCTGAATCTATGGGGGATTCCATTCTCTCTACTGTCAAGAAGGCAGCCAGATTGGCAGTGTAGGATGAAATGATGATTAGGGTGAAAAACCACCATATCCCTCCAACTATTCTGGTCGATAGAGCTTTGGGCATCAGCTCTGATCCTGTGATGGTATCATCAGAGTAAGGGTGTTAAATACAGTCAGAAGGAAAGGGAAGATGTACAGTTCGACACTATTCTAGGGAGATCAACCCATCAAAGACTTACCATCTTGTATGTAGATGAAATAAATACATTTTATAGAAAATGCATCAAAATCTAAAGCATTTTTTTTCAAATCATTAATCACTACTGCTGCTTTAACTATAATTTATCAGTAGCTGATGGTATTAAAACAGTTTTAACCTGGACATATTCTATGTCTAAAATTTAGTTAGTTTAGTTTCTTAGAATTGAAAAGTCAACCCCAAGACTTTTTGCCTTTTATTACTGTCTAAATGCATCTTATAGTGTGAAGTAAAATATTCTATGTCTTTGTATAACTATGAAAATCTTTGAAATGCTAACATTTTTATTTAAGATTAAAGAAGGAGAGCAACTTGCAAAATATTAACGTGCCATTTATCACATGTACTTTAATAAAACATTGGGATTTTACAAATAAAATAAGATGCAGCCATACTTGACAGTGGATGAATTAGTTTTTATTGTCTTATGTTACCCTAAAAGCTAAATTCCTTTTTCTACTGTAGATTCTTATTTGGCTAAAAAAACACTTTCTCTGCAACACATAATTTTGTCCTTCAATAAAATGCTGTTTCTTAACTACACTTCAAAGACAGGCTGTTTCTTAGGTGAAAGAAGACTTTCCTGGTAAGAATATACATTTTAGATGTCATTCAGATGATTTTAAATTATGTTTAAATGATAAGAGGCACTTAATGTGTTTACCAAGGAAACCTTCCTCTCTAAAAGAAAGGGTTTATGAGCTAAGTTTACTGACATAAAAGACAAACATCTTGAAAACAGTCTAGCTCAATTTTGCTCAGACTGAGCTGTGGATGTCTATACATTCAGCAGCAGAATTAGAATAAAAGAGAAGTACAATTAGAGTTCACTCCAGTTGTACTGATTCACAAGTGGATTTTGGCTTGTCCATCTGCCTGAAATTTGCCATTGCTTCTGTACATAGCATATCCTCCACGAACCTGAAGGCATGACAGAGTTTATGTGACTAGAGAAAAAGTGAAAAAAACACACCCTAAATTAAAAATCCCAAAGAGTGAAGTATAGTAGGCCAGATGTCTGGACTATAGGATCCTTTTACTATACTGATAGGGTGTTTTGAAGCTCTGTAGTTAATAATGGCTTAAGATGGAAAGGAAAATTGGAGTTCACCAATCTACCAATAAATGAATTTGTGCTCTGGTTTAGTCTATAAACAGATGCACATACTGCTCAGGAAATCAAAGCTAGCTCAAGGACAGTGATAAGCAGATCAAGGTTGGCAGAGTTTCTGGGCTTTAAATTAACAGATATATTCTCCTAATGCTATTACATATCTTTGTGTTTTATTCCCTTTTAATGAGGGAAATGGTTTGACAGCGATTTGTATTTCCTTCTGTCGTTTGTTTGAATTTGAGTGGGTAATATTACACAGACTTATAATAGTTTTCCATTAAATTGCCTCCAAGGATTTAGTGGAATGGTTTGCTGCTGTTGTTTTAATATCGTGGTTTAATGGGATTTATATGCCTGTGGGTGTGTGTGTGTTTAATGCCCAAGGTTGTTTCATATCTTTGTACTTAATTGATCTAGCAGTCTTGTGGCAATGTGATATTATTTTAGATCTTTAGTTGGTTATTAAAATACCATTTATTTCATAAAATAGCCATAGGAAATAAATAACAGTTAATAGATATATTTTTCTTAGCTTATAGGTGCAGATTTTCTGCTGTAAATTTATTCTTTTGTTATTTGGTTGCATTTATGAAAAGATAAGGTTTTCACTTATTTGTATTTTTGTATAATTATGTATTATATGGCATTAAGACTGGACAGACAGGTGAACAACAGACTGTTGAAATGTAATAATTCTAATTCACATCTTTCACATTGTAGAATGTATATTTAAACTTTTGGATAAAGTTATCTTAGAAACTTAGTAAAAATATTAATAGAACACAAGTATTGAGATTGCATTTTAAACCCTTGTTAGATGGCATCCATTAGATTTCTCAATGTTTCTTGGTGTTTTCTATTTTTGTCTAATTTTGTGAATTTTGTAATTCTCCATGTTAATTAGAAATGCTTAGAAACCGCTTCTTTCAAGTAGAGAGGATTTGTGGAAGCTTAGTACTCTAGAGGATGAAATGATACAAACACTAAAAGTTGAGTAAAACATTACTAGAAAATATTCAGGATGAGAGACAGTGCTTGCTGAAG